GTGTGACTGTGTATAACTAAGACTTGATAAATGAGATGGGGGGGATGTGTGTGTGTGTGTGTGTGTGAGACTAGAGTTCTGAGCAGTGATGAAAAGGTTTTACTACTGACCTTTACAACTATGAAGGTTTCTACACTTGATCTGAGCTCAGAATTGATAACTGCTCATGTTGCTGATTTGGGTTTTTTTCTAGCTGTTACTTCCTACATTGTAGTCTAACATTCCTCTTCATTTTTAGGCTGAAACAGAAGAGATTTATCATGAGCCATTATCATCAGTAACTATTTCTACTGGCAGCATTTTAAGTTACGAAAACACAGATCTGAGCCTTACAGATCCAGGTAATAAAGTCAAAATGTTTGTAAATAAATTGAAAGACCAGCATCAGTTGAGGTCAGTACAGTGGTGAGAGCAAACACTGAGAGCTTGTCACAATGTGCTGAGAGGGCTTGTTTCTTTAAATCTCAGAAGTAAACTGTTCATGCCTGAGAGAATAATGGGCAGTATGTTACTCTAAACATTACTGGAAGTCACAGGCCTGCAGGCCACAGGGATGCTCTGTGGTTCTCCAACAACATTTTCAGAATTATCTGCTCACATTTTCCCATCCAGTGGGAATCTGAGCAGATTTCTTAATTGCTCTGATCCCTCATCAATGTATATTGCTATGCCTCTCTACCAAAACTTGTCTCTAAGGAAGTGCCCAGCCATTCAGTATTTTCATTGAACTCATTTTTCAGGGTCATTTTCAGAGCATGTGGACCCCAGGGAACAAGAATCCACCACTGGTAAAGAAGAGGAAGTAGGTATTTTAAGTTCTATACTTCCTTCATCGCAAGTTCTTTATCAAAGGCAGGACTCTCGGGAAGTTCATCAACCTCTGTTGCCTGTGGTGGAAAAGTTTACACCTGGTAAGACACATATGCGGCAGATGATAGACAAGCACATAAATGAAGCAAATTTGATGATTGAAAAAACAGACTTGAGGATAAAATTATTTCAAACAGTGCTTTTATATAACCTTTCATCCTTTTAAGGAATGATTGTTTGAGCTTCATGTCTCTTTGGCCTGCTGTGGCAGTTATGACACGATACATGGAAAACAGGGCATTTACTGAGAGGGGATCTGGAATGAATTAGACTGAAGAACATGTAGCAGAGATGAACAGATCTTCCTTTACCATTGCAAAGTTAGCTGTAACAGCTGAGGCAGTATTGCCAATATTGAGAATAAGATCAGACCTTGAGTCCCTAATTTGATCATTTATTAGCTGTGAGACAGTGAGCATGTTGCTTACTCCTTCCTCTTCTGTTAAAAAGGGGGCTGTTGGAGATTAAATGAGATAGTACACATGAAGTACAATGCCTGGCCCATAGTTAACACCCTATACAGGAACTTTCCTTCTTTCTTCTTTTTTTAAATCATTGATGCCAAAACGAAATAAGTGAGAATAACAAAGCTTATAGCAAAGCAGTGATCATAGTGGCTTCTTCTAATTAAACTTCATAAGACTTTGGAGCTAGTAAAAATGGAAACTTTGTCAAAGGTTTTGGTCATTCAGTATCCTTATTTTTTTGTATGTGGAATGTAATGATAGGACTTAATTTGAAAGCATCTGCTGGCAATGAAAAAAAAATGGAAGTAATTTTGTTAAATTGCAGTTACCTAAAATTAAATTTTATCTTTTTTTCTCAAAATTGCAACAGTTGACCTTGACTTTCCAGAATTGGAACACACTTTTCCAAATTTGCATCGTCAGCTATTTAAGCCGTTAGAACCACATCCAGATTTTGATATATCATCATCATACTCTGGGATTTCTCAAGACAGCAGAGACTTTTACCAGGTATATTAATGAAGATGCTTCATTGCTGTGAATGTCCAAAACCAGTTAATCTTTTCTTCTGTTAGAACAGAACAGTGGTTCTTTTCCTTGGCTGCCCATTAGAATCACGTGGAAAGCTTTTAAAAATCCCAATGCCCGGGCTGTACCCAGACCAATTAAGTCAGAATCTCTAGGAGTGCTTAGATTATCAAAAAACTTTGAGCTCCCCAGGCGATTATAATGTAGAACCAAGATTGGAAGCCAGCTATACTAGAATTTTGTCCTGTCAGCCTTATCTCCAGCTAATGAGTATAAGCCATAAAAGGCTCAAGAGTATTTTTATTGTTTTTTTATTACGAATTTTACAAAATTTAAAGCCTCTTCCTATTATAGTAAAGCAGCTGAGATTCAAAACTAGGTCTTTCTTCTCCCATACCCTGACATCCCAGGCTGTCCTACATAATAGTTCCTGCCTTTAGAAAATGACCTTGTCAGACACCTGGGTGGCTCAGTCAGTTGAGCAGCTGCCCTCGGCTCAGGTAATGATCCCAGGGTCCTGGGATTGAGTCCCACATCAGGAGCCCGTCTCCCTCTGCCTGACGCTCCCCCTGCTTGTGCTGTCTCTCTGACAAATAAAATCTTTAAAAAAAAGAAAAAGAAAGTGATCTTGTCGTATTCTAAACTATCTGGTTAATTTGCAATTTGTTTTCTAAATTTTTTAAAGTCTCTTTCATATTGACTGAAATGGAAGAATTGGGTTTAAATAAGCAAATTATTAGTGTGAAAGGAAAGTGGTAATTAAGAGTAGTATCATAGGAACATGACTATTGATCCAATTGGTAATAATCAGTATGTCAGCCTTTCCCTGTTGTTTTCCATCAGAACTCAGATTCTTCATGTGAAAGCCACCATGCTGTTGTAGCATCCAAAAGTACGGTTTCCTTTACAGCACTGAGAACCAGCCTGAATTCATCTAACATAAGCCCGAACCAGCAGCCGGACCCTCATTTGGCTCATGCTGCAGCTCAGATATTTACTACAGAAAATACTGAGGGTATGATTAAGTTAGAAAATACTTTTCCATGATTTACATCCACTTTCCTTGGAAATTGTGCCTAGCAGCTCTTGGTATGTCTCCACTCCTGTCCTGACCCGTTCCCAGTGTTACAGCTTGTTTCTCTGTGTATTCATTTCAATAATAGAAGTAATAATGCTTAGTTTGCATTTTTACAGTTCTGAACTTGATAAAAAGCCAAAGTGCTGCCTCTTGTTCCTCAGCTTCCTTACCTCAACCCTTACAGTTAAGTTTTAAGTATCCTTCTAAAACTTCTTGTACAAATTGTATATATACACACACATATTTTTATGAGATACACATGCACATTTTAGTCGGAGTTCTGTTATTGAAATCAAGTCTCTCTTAGGAGAGTCTTCGGACTCTCTCTAGTCTTCATCATGTGTCATAACCATGTTTTATTAGACTAGGAGAAAATACATTGTGGGAGCAGAATTTGAAAATCAAGTGACCATCCTTTTAGTTTTCTGTTCATGTATACATATATCCGCTTTCACTCCTCAAATTGTAGGAAGTAATCTGACTTCATTACTTGCAATTTAGTCAGACTATTAGAGATTGTATCTGTATCCAGGTTTCACAACATGTCATTGTGGTTAACTTATTTCTTACAGGATCTGAACAATCTTTTCAACAGCTTCTGCCAGAATTTTCTTCACAGGAGGGGAGCCAGCATGTTGATCTACCAAGTATTTTCACCATTGAAGTAAGAGAATCTTCCCAAGGCATGGAAAATCAGGACTCTGAACAGACTAAAATGCAAAATAAGGAAAAAAGTGTTCATTTCCACCTCTGTGTAGGAAATTTACAGAGTTCAGTCTTCGGTTCATCTGATGAGGCTAATGTATTTCATCCCTTAAGTCTACAGTATAGCACTCCATGTGGGTCTGCCTCTAGTGAGTGCTCAGTAAAAGCCCAACCCGAAGGCAGAAAAGAAAGACTGGGTTTTGAAGAACTATCAGAAAGAGGACTCGATGGAGACAAAAATGAAATCCGTGGGGTTTTAAACATAAATTCACATGTGGAGGAAATTGATTCTCAATCCTGTGTCAGAACAGTGGAGATGGGAACTTCAGTTCAGACACCATATTCTGTTCAGAATGAAAAATATTTTGAGAATTCAACTAAGGAAGAAACTCCAAAAGTCCTAAGAAACCTTTCTCAACTAGCACAATCAGAGCTCTTTTTAAGTTCTGGATCATTACAGAGCTCAATTCCAATGTGGGTAAGTGAAATCTGTTGTATGTAAAAAGATTCATTTCCAGGGAAGTCTTTTGAAACAAAATTCAACAGAAGCAACCAAGATACTTGCTAATATTTCTGAGATAGTCAATCTTGTTATCATTGGAAATCTCCAATAAAAGGTCTTGCTCCCCATTAACACATCCCTTTTCTAATGGCTTGGCCTATGCTTCAGCTTCTTTGTACTGCATTAATCTGCTTGGTTTCAACTCGAGTCACCTGAATATGGTTTTTGCCTTCTAGTATTGTCCTTCCACCGATCAGTTATATTGAGAGCAAGAGTGACATCTGGGCCACAGATGTTTTATTTTGCAGCTTTTGTGTTGGAGTGGTTTTGTGTTTTGCAAATTCTTCAGTGTAATTAGATACTTCCCTCTAAAAATGTAGTTTGGCAGCAAGGGTCTCCCATTTGGCTGCACCCCACCAGCTACTGCTCCCTTTCGATAGGTTACCCCCTCAGGTTCTGCACAGCCCCCCAGTCAACCCGCCTTTGTACTATCTGCATAGCCCCATAATAAGCATTTGGGCTTATAACCCTTGCATTAGCTATTTTCAGAGAATTATTTCACCCACCCCCAAAGTCTTAATATTTCTTAAAGTGGGTTGGACGTGGGGGAGGCACCACGGTGGTCTTCACGGACCACTGTTGTTCTTCCTCTGTAACGTATTTTTACGCTTTTAAGGGTATGGTTTCCTTTTGAATTTTACTGCACAGGAGACAGAATCTGGCCACGGTATAATGGAAGAACCAGAGCTTACACTAGTAAGCACCAGTGATACCAGTATTGCTGAAATGGATTTTGTAAATCTAACCCTAGAAGAAAAGAAAGGAAATGAGACAAAAAACAGTTCTCAGGTAAATTTCATAGCTCCCTTTAATATGAATACACCTCATTTTACACAGCCAACACATAGCTGAGAATAAGGAAACAGGTAAGTTTTTCCTTTTTTTCATTAGAATTGTTTGCAAACTAATTTCCTTCCCTTTCCCGGGTGCAAATGCTGTCAACTACAGTGAACAGGAAGGGTTACTGTGCTTTAAGCAACTGACAGCTGAGGAGAGGGACATTTATCTTACGATGCTGTAGATTTCATTAGTACCTGGAAGGGTTGGAATTCGCGAAATGAATTGATTCAATGAAAGATGAATCTTGTTCCAAAAAAGTTCTGAGGCAGCAGAGCTCTAGAAGATAGGTAAAAATCAGAACTGAGGGCGGTACAGAACGAGTGCTATTACTTTTGAGTTTATTTTGTGCGTGTCTTGAAGAAAAAATGAAGATGTATTTCAAGTTATAAAACACCAAGATAGGTTTTAGCTGCAGGTTCCTTATACTTTTCTCCACTGCAAGCAAACCATTCTTCCTGGCTCACTTCACTTCTTAGAAGATAGCATTAAATGTATGGCAGAATTCCCTCCAATGACTAATTTGCTAAGATCCTAGATTACAATAGATGAATTCACTGATAACTGTTTGTGTATTAAGAGGGAAACTCTCACAGGGAAGTCCCAGATTCTAGAGAGTACTGTGGCCTGATACAGTATTAGATTATTTATCTAATGACTCCACACCTAGTACTTTTGTTGCCATGATAAGGGTAATTTGGAGAAGCAGGAGACTAAGAGCTAATGCAGAAGTGGTGTGGAAGAACTTGACAGCTATCAGGGTAGGGGGTGGGGGGAGCTTTTGGCTAGAGTAGGCTGGTCAGGTAAAGCATTTTAATAGGAATAAAGTCATTTATTAAAACTTTCCCTTCCCAGAAAACTTAGTCCTGTAGTTCAGATGTGAGAACCAGCACAAAGAAAGAATAGAACGAAGTCTATTGAATATGGATTCCTATACTCCATTAGGGGAGCAGAGAGTAAGGCACTCAGCTGCCTACCTCTCCCCCAAAGACCACATCTCTTTGTCTAACAAAGGGAACCAGGGGTCTAGGAACTTAAAAGGTTTAGAACCTACGCTTGTGATTCTGTTCAGTGAGATGAAAAGTGGTAAATTCATCTATAATTTTTTTTTTTTGCAATTAGGTGAGTGAATTTCTGCCTCTTTTATCAGAAACAGAAACCTCAGATTATCTAGGTGTATCTGAACACTGCAGCAAGGAGCAAGTGATCCTGTCGGCAGGTATGCCCTTGAGCATCTGAAATGCTTAAACTGAGGGGCTGGCAGAGTTCCCGATTCAGTTCCAATATTCACACTGTCCCACAATCTTGTACACTGCTGGCACAAAACATTTAAGCTTCAGTTTTTTTTTTTTTTAACAGAAACTCCTCCAAAGATTATAGCTCTACCTGGGAGCTTACAAGAAGCATTTATAAAGAGGAAAAAATCATTTATGGAGAGATCCTCCCAGAGACAGAAAGAAATAAAGAATAAAACTCGTATTCCTGAAAATTCTCAAACCAAAATAGCTAAGGAGAAACCTACAGGTATGTTCCACACAATCTGCATCAGGTCTCACAAAGAGAATGTAGCATTGTAATATTTGCCAAGTCACTTGTTCTCTGCTCAGGCTCATCTGTGAGTCGCCTGAAGGGTGCGAATAAGGTTAAGGTTAGAGTGTCACTTCCTGAAGACAGAAAGACTGCACAAGCCCTCATGCATCAAAGGGCCCTAAGGTATAGGTGTGTGTGTATGTGTGTGAGCAAATAGTAATTTACATTCCTAAAATGTGTGTCCTTAATTCTATGTATCAATTTACAGATCATACAATCAGTTAGCTGAAGTCAAACGGCAAAGGGAAGAAAAAGCAAAGCAAGATGCATATGCCCAAAACAGAGCAAGGGCAAAAGAATTTCATAAGGTGAGCTAGGCCCCCTACAATTTTTCCATGTCTAGGGTATATATACTGCAACGGATAAATGCTAAATTTTATTTTTTTATTCCTTCCACAGAAAACACTACAGAAACTTCGAGCCAAAAATACATGCTGACTTTCTACTAAAAGTGTAAAGTTTTTTTTAATTATGTGTAATATAGGCAAAATTATTTAAAGTTAATAAATTTTTATTTGAGGAATTTTACATGTGATTCCTTCCGCTTCCATTCACCGTAGTTCCTCCAAAGTCAGAATCATAATCTTCACAATAGCCCTGAGAACAAGAGTATACACAGTGGTTAAACTTCGGAGACATTTCTTCTTTCCCACTTGACCAATCATGGATAAAAGCAGCTAAATCTTGTATCTCCTCAGGAAAACATAGCACTATTGAGTAACTATTACATCCTATGGAGAATTCCAGTATTTGGTCATAGCGTTAAGAGCTCTTGGTTTTAGTCCCACAAGCCCTCTTTGAAATGACCTGGAAGTTATTTTTTTCAAATGTGTACATACCTTTTAAAAAGAACTGTTCAATCCACAGTTGTCACTGTCAGTCCTACATAACAGGAACATAAAAGTAAGGTTCCATTTCCAGAGATGATCATGTAAACTGAAGCCAGCCTCCCTCTATTAAATCTATTGTATTACAAGTTGCATGGATATTAGCAGGAGTGATTTAGCAAAAGACACTTGCAAGAGTAGAAATCTAGGCACGCACTGTTCAATATACTAGCCATGTATGGTCAGATTAGAATTTGAAATATGACTATTACCAAATCACATATGGCTTTTGTTACATTTATACTGGACAGTGCTGATCTAGCCAATGGAAATAGAACACGGTTGATAAAATGTTCCCAATAGGCTGAATGCTAGCAAAGTAGCAGAAAGAAAAAAAACCTAGTGGGAAAATTTTTTATGGTCATGTCCACAGCAAATGAGAAACTGCATTCTCAAAGCCTTGGTAATGACCATTATATGGTAAGAGAATTAACTTGCCAGAGTTCTTTCGGTTGAGCTTCTTCGATCTCCACTTGAATACGGACATACTTCAAAAACTCCCCACCTATGGAAAATTTTAAAGTTTAGACTACATTTTGAAAAATGTAGTTAATTAGGTTCCCAAGTATCCTGAAACCCAGTTCTGAACTAGTATGTGCTACAAATTGCAGACTTAAAACTACGTAAGGTGCAATAATTGTTTTCAATCCAGTTCATTTAAATGTTGGGAATATATTTTAAAATTAAGGTTTATTCATTTGCACTCAAACCTCAATTGACATGAAATGCCCTGATTATTAACTCCAAAGTAACTATTCCTGTTTAACTTTTACTTAGAGCTTTTGCTGGAAAATACAGCACAGATTTCATTTGGATGGATGTTCAGAAAGGCTACTTTCATTCAGCACATTCAGAGCAGTTGAACATTTTGCCCATCATCATAACATCACAAATCACTGGCAAACAGTATAAACACACATTGTGGCCTTTTAACATCTAGAGTTGTTTTTTTTTAAGTGGTGAGGTAATGAACTACCAGGATTAGCAGCTGTCAAAATTAGGTAAATAAATGGATCCCATCTCCTATAACATAGGGCTTTTGAAGCGAAATCTTACCTGTAATCTTTGGGATCCAATGTCTTTACTCCGGGGCCCTAGAAGTCAAATTGTAGAAGTACACTGATTGCTATTTTGGCAAATAGATCTAATTGTTTCTAATGTTGAAAAGTCTTACAGAAATGTTACAGGCCTCATTGTCACCACAGCAATAAACCTGCTATGATGGAAGCATAACCTGTGTCTCAATGTAGCCACATCAACAATTTCTGGACACCATGAACAACAGTGCCCACTTCCACCTAGAATGAGGCTTTATAGAAGTTCCTCCCAAGCTTATAATCTATACAAAGGTTTCTGCCTCTGTAAGTCCTGCTGTTTTGCTAACCAGATGCTGTCAATAAAAGAAAGCCACCAAAAGCAACTGAAATAAAAAGCCTTACCTGTTAGGGTCTGAGCCTGGATCTGCCTGGTTCTCAATTTCAAACACCCCTAGAAAAAGAGACGTGTTAGTTCCTCCTGTAGATTCTCTCAAATTGAACAATATGAAAAACTAGAGGAAAACTGTTTCAATAAAAATACCAGGTTTAACATGCACGAAGCCAAGAAAACCAACGATGCCAGATACTGAGTTTCTATTGCACTGTCTCTTGAACACCCAGCAGGAATGAGCTGCTGAGGGCAGATACCATGCAGTGCGATCCTGACGGATATGTAAACCCCTCTACTTCAAAGGCTACCTGAGAAACTTCTCTCTCGAAATTTAAGTTCTTGTAATATGTAGACCTTTATTCCTAATTGCCACTCCAATAAGACAATATTACCTGCAACTTAAGTTATAAGCCCAGTCTCCATTATCTTTCCTGTCTCTGTATAATGCACATACATAACTATGAAGGGAAATCACTAAAAGAAATGATGCATTAGAAACAAGATCAGTTGCTCAGATTATCAGGCAGAATTCCTTAAAAAAAATTTAATGTATCTGTTGTAACATATCCAAATGAATTGTTTAATAAAGATACAAAAGGGCATTTTCATGTTATTTCCTAGACAGTCTCTTCAGTTTGTCCAATTCTGTAAGTTTTACAGCAAACATTTTTACTAAGATCTTGATACTTCTGTTGCATACCCAACTACTGCACAACAGTATGCTGACCTCACTTCTATTTTTTCAGAACGTTTGGATCCTTAATAAATTTCAATAGAAATCAGATGTTCCACCTACCTCTAAATATGAGTTCAAATCCTATTCACCCCTACAGATAAAACAACAAAAGATTAAGAACAATTTAACTGTGATTAAAATTTAAAACCTAAATATATATGACTAGCATCCACATTGTAACTGGATTTAAGCTATAGTCAGCTCTGTCAGAATTAAGTTTTAGTTCATGTCTGTATCATTCAGCAGTTGAACAGTTAAATTCATCATCTGAACTGTAACAGTACCCCAAAGATTGCACTGTTCCCAATGGAAACTTACCTAAGCCATCACACCCTAGAACTGTACAGATTGTTGGGATATGCCAACACCTAAGATTTAAAAAAATTTGACTATTAGGTCTTTCACAGAATTTTAGCAGTTAAATGTCTTGTAGTTCTTTCCCACAGATCTAACACATAGTTCTGTGAACAAAGGAAACCACACATATACTCTATGAGGCGTTTCCAACGATGTAGGTCTACAGAGAAAAAGCCCCATCGGGATAGACCTCAACCATTGTTTAGTTTTAAATTGGAAGATTCCACAAGAAAAACACAACAGTGATCTGCTCTCAGTCACCGAGTTCAAAGTTGTGCAAAAAGCCGAACATTTACAACAAACTTCTCATTCCATAAATTACACAGTAAGGATTTTTAAAATGCTTACAGGAAGGAGTAAGTTATAATGAGAATAAAAACCAAATACTAAAGATAAGTACAAAGTGGCTACTATAGAACCACCAAAGGAAGGAAAAAGATTTCCATATCTAAAAGTCCTGATTTTGGCAAACTCCAGTATCAGAGTATGTTTTGTCTAGGACATTCCAGATTACAGCAGTGTTTAAATTTTTGCCTCACCTTAAGAAATACCATTATTTGATATCACTAAAAAAGAGGAAAATATTAATGTGGCTTTATGTATTTCTGTTCTTCCCATTTATGAAATCACTGGAAGATAAATTGGGTGCTTTTTAATTACCGTTTGCATCATTCAGATTTAGGAAATTTTATGTCCTCTAGTCATTTCTAACATTACACTACTAAATCTTATTACCTCATTTTAGATTATGCATTAGTTTAAAATAATGTAAATGTGTGAAATGAGAATATCTAGTATTCGGATTATTTCAATATAAACTTAGTTTGTGGAGACCCTTTCCTGCTAGTAAAGTGAAGCTTGCACTTTACCACTATAAAATGTGTGAACCCTAAAATTCATTTTTCTGAAATGTCAAACAGAAATTGTCAACTGGCAAAATGTCTTTCAGTAATGAAACCTGTGGAGGTTTAAACTGTCTGACAAAGTTCATTTCCACAAATCTGACCCAAATACTCACCTGAAGCATAAGACATACCTTTAAAGTCCAGACATTGTGTTCAAGTGAAAAGCCTAAAAAAAAAAGCATCTTTGTTTCATGTCAGCATTAAAATTAGAATTCTAATTCAATATAGCTGAGATTTTTTTTTTTTTTTGAAGATTTTATTTATTTTTGACAGAGAGAGGGAACACAAGCAGGGCGAGTGGGAGAAGCAGCAAGCTTCCCCACCAAGCAGGGAGCCTGATGCAGGGCTAGATCCCAGGATCCTGGGATCCTGATCTGAGCCCAATGCAGACGCTTAATGACTGACCCACCCAGGCACCCCTTCCCTTATATACCTTTAGTAATTCTACAGTCCTGGAACCGCCCTTCAGGTTTGTCAATATACCCACCATCACTTTAATCTGTTTTAGGGATCTTGTTCCTTCTTGTATGTATCAAAACTCATACTGTGCCATGAGTTCTGGGTTGCAAAAGAGGATTTATTTTTTGCACTTAGTCTAAGTCTTTGTTCACAAACTAAACAAAAACAAGCACAAGTGCGATCATAAAATACAGTATATATTTAGTGGCATACTCAGCAATATGCATAGTAAGTGGTAGCTGAAATAGTCTAGGTAACTAGTTATTATGGTACTACATATTTGAAGCTAAAGGTCACTTTTATCTGAATAAAACTGCGGGCAAAACCCGTTTCAGGTACTCTGAGGAATGGATGGTTGCCGTCCATCATTAGTGATTACTGTAATAAAAGATTTACAGTCTCTGTACTTCTTGAAGGCTCAAATGATGCCTTTTAAGTGCTTACCCTGAAATAAACAAGCAGAGGCAAAACAGATTTCTCAAGTGATTATTTCTGCTATATGCAAGCCTCAATTTTTTCTATGTGTATAATTTCACTGTTTTTAAAATGGTTTTTTCTAGTAATTCGTTACGAGTTTCATTAACTTGTTCAGACATTCTTTTTTTCTCCTTAGCAGGTTCTTTATCACTACGCCAACATATATATTTGTGTTTTTCATCTTTCTACAAAAAGCTGTTTTCTCTGTTCTATTTACCTTAACATTCATATTCCTATCTCTTTTCAGGCCATTCTGTCCTGTCCAATGTTTTTGGACTTTGATGCTCTCTTTTTAGACAAAGCGGCTTCTTCAGTATATTCTTCTTGTTCTAAATACACATTCTTCATCTTTGGTACTTCAGAACTTATTATGAAATCATTATTGTCCTGCATAAAAAACTCCAATTATTAAGTAACTACTGAATTTTATTGCTTTAGTAATTACACATAACTGAACTCTAGGTTACTTAAAATAACCTGGTGACTAAGGCCTGATGTTAAAAACCCAAATTCAACTTATTTTTTTTATTAGAAAATCCTAATTAGACATTCTAATAGCAAAACCTAACATATTAAACTTATTAACAGTGCTGAAAACCCAACATTCTCACCAAGCATCCAAATAATCCCTATTTTTATTCTTACATTTCCTGTACACCAAATCCATTGAGCCTTTCAAAAATTAAGTTCAGAATCTAAGATAGTAACTAGTGGATTAAATTCTTCCTGTACAACTGCTATCCTCCTGAAATGGGAAAAAATGTTACTTACCACCAATTTGATATCACATTCATCATTATGTTCAAGATTTGTTGCAGCCTCCTCTGTTCTGTAATGTTAAAATATACCCTCAGACGACAAAATCATCTATCTAGAATCCAGTATTATACTGTCATGATACACAAATGAAACAGCAATACTAGTTAAGGAGAAAAATTATGCTGTCATGTATGACATCCTAAAACGGATGGCTCATGTGCCAAGCTCAAAGCTCAACTACAACCCAGATGGCCTTATTGTATCTATGCTCCCATCACTATTCAAGTAACAACAAATCCCTAACATAATATGGAACAATTAAAATTTAAAAAATTAATTCAATAAAACCTAGGACCTAAATTATGTCATGATTAAACTTACTCTGATTCTTCAATAGGAGAGAGAGAACCATCATCATCCAAGTATTTGTATCTACGACTGTCAAAATCTTCTTTTTCTAAATCTTCACCAACATTCATTTGTTTCAAGGATTCCTTGAGGTAGTATTCATACTTCAGTTTTTCAAGGTAGTTGAAAAATCCTCTTGCCACTGCTTGCTAAATATCAAAAGGACTTTATGTAATGGTCTTACAAAACACAAAATTTTCTTCCATGACTTAGCAGATACCTTATGTTCCAAAATGAAAAGGGTTCCTTTACCACAAACTCAAGCGATTCTGATTTACTCACTCTGCCATATGTGGATCACATACACCAGATGCTGGTTGTAAAAAGAACCCACTATCTACCTAGCACATTATCAAATTTACGTAAGTTGTTGGTATACCAAGAAAAACTAAGCACAAATCTTATATTGTTTGAGAATTTCTAAGGCCTTTTTTTTTTTTTTTTAAGATTTTAATTTATTTGACAGAGGGAGAGATAGTGAGAGCAGGAATACAAGCAGGGGGAGCGGGAGAGAGAGCAGCAGGCCTCCCGCTGAGCAGGGAGCCTGATGCGGGGCTCTATCCCAGGACCCTGGGATCATGACCTGAGCCCAAGGCAGATGCATAAGGACTGAGCCACGCAGGCGCCCCTCTAAAGACTTTTTAATTTTATTTCATTTTGTTATGTTAGTCCCCATTCATTACATAGTTTTTGATGTAGTGTTCTGATTGTTTGTAACACCCAGTGCTCCATTCAATATCTAAAGACGTTTTTAAATGCAAAGAGAAATCTCTTTTGTTCACATATCAGCTTAAAACATAAAAGGTTAGTATTCTTTCAAATCACCAATTCTGGAGCAAAAGATTATAAATTATGCAATCATTTAACTCAAGTATTTGAGAGTTTAATGCTAAGTTATTTGTCAGGCAATTCTGTCAAAATCGAATATTCAGTATCTATAAGGAAATAGCCTCTACTAAAGCCACTACACATGGAAAATATGGGTGGGTTTGACGTAGGTTACTGTAAAATTAGGATCACTGAGTTTTAGGGATGATACTTAAAAACCTGATGAGATCAACGGATTTTACATAAACAGACAAAACACCTCATATATGGGTATATTCATTGAAACTGAATATACCAGTGAAGAATCCACCCAGAATGGGTTGGTCTTGAAGCGACAGATAAGTCAGTACAGAAGGATATTATCAAAGTCGCAGATTCTATGTTCCAGGCACATCTAAATTCTAAAAGTGGCCAAGTCATTTCAGACATTTTAGCTGTTATGTATCCACACATATAAAATAATGACTTACCTCAAAGGTTAAAATTTTTCTCCAAGGTAATGGTTTTCTTGCATTCTCAGATTCTAAAAATGGGAACCCAGATCCTTTATCTTGAACTTGTTTCTTATTTATTTGGGAACGTCTAGTGTTTTTTCTCCCTTTTGGTCTTCCCCTTGGTCTTCCTGTTGGTTTATATTTCCTCTTTTTACGTTTCTTTTTTTTGAATCTTTCAAAAATAGCTTTTAAAGTCAATGGTCTTGGTTCAAAAGAGGAGTCACTAGATGAATCCCTTGCCTGAACATCTTCAGGTGAATGAACAAACTTTCTAGTAGGGTTTCTTTGCCCCTGTTTAGGTGAGTAAGGGACACACTGAGTTTTAAATAAGCTGCTACCAGAAGAGTTATCACTAGAAAAAAAGGGGAAAAAATTAATTGCACTCTTTCATATTACTGAATGCTTATTACCATAAGGTACTTTTCTTCCACAGACCAAAAACAGGAAAACATGCTCAGGACTAAACCAACCACTTAGTTCAGACTACCTAAAATGGACCGTAATGCCATAATATCATGATGCCGTAGCACTTACCAAAACATGACCTTCCAAGATAAATAATAGGATTTTAATTTCCAAAGGCAGTCTTGTTTAGTGCTAGAGCTTGCTCTAAATAAAACAAGAGTAGCCTAGCAAACAGATATTTGATTACAACAGAAATGCTGACTTGATTTCCCAGTGATTATTTCCATCATGCCAGCTCTATTATAATGTGCATTATCCCAACAAGTTGATTTTTAAGCAAGATCCCCCACTGATGTCTATTTTCCTGTTTTAAGATTAGGATGATTTAGCCAGGAAGAGATACCAAATTGGCCCAGAGAATATTGTTTCCCCAGGGTTAAGAATGTGTCCCACTGTTAACTACATAAACTGAAGACCTGTGTAAAACAGGTTTTCCTTTTCTTTCCTAATTATTGAAAATTACCTTTATTGCTTACCCAATAATAAAAATACAGTAAACGTTATCAGCCAATCTAGTCAGTTTTGCAGTAAAAATCTAGTGGTGGTTGATTAAGAAAACAGCACTTACCTCTCATTTTCAATTTCCACAGCTGAATTAGATGCCATTATAGTTAAAATTCATTCCAGTTACATATCTCCCAAGTCCTTCTCCAAATTGTTTTATTCGCCACTTGTTATTTGCTTAAGAGTTCTGACAATTCGGTAAACGTGATGTAGTTTCTCTGAACAAATGCCAACACAAACAGCTAGTATCCCAGTAATACGCAATTTGATGTAGTCAGATTATGTCACATTTTACGTAAATTAAGGCAAAATCATATACAAGGCCCTTAATATTTTTATATAGGAATCATCCATTTCAAATCAAATTCTAAAATCTAGAAACTGAATTCACGGTTTCCGTTTTTCAGGTGTCTTCTCAATCTTATCCAGTGGAGATTCCAGAACAGTATTGTCATTTCCAAAGAAGTATTAAACATCTTCCCATGATACAAAATGAAATTTTACTAAACATGTAACATACAAGTATTCACATACAATTAATGGCCAAAAAGCCATTTTTCAAGAGCAGATAGGAACTCCTTGGAAAAACTTTTACATACAAAGCCAGAAGGCAGTGTTGCCTCAGTATATCAGGAAAAAGATTCACGATTTACTACCTCAATCCAATCTCCTGGATTTCCATTTGTAGCCTCTTCTCATTCACGCTATGATTCATCAAAGTCACTGTGAAACCTCTTCCTTGGCATATTATCTCCTTGCCATTATGGGTACTAATTAACAAGTTCTGAATTCTCAAACTTCAATGAAAGACTAACAGACCACACAACGGTGCCCTTTGTCTTTTTATTCTCTCCTTGGAAAATCTGACAATAGTGGGCAAAAAAGTAGAGGTCTTATTTTACTACCTCATCTCCCTCTTTCAAGGGATACCAACATTCTTCCGTTTTTGTCTTCAGTATACCTGAGAATAACAACTGAGTAGTGAAGAATGGAATCCTAGGATAAAATGACAAAATATTCCAAATACAAGAAATCATCAAGGTCAGGTAGGGATTTGCAAAATGTCCGATGGACTCGTGGTAATTTCATGTTATGTTTTGTTGGTAGTGTTTTAAAATGCGAAAACCTATTCATGAAATAACTGCTCAAAAATGAAATTTAACAAAAACTGGGTTACACGGCACTGATGGTATACCGGAGGTTATGTCTGTCTTCTAAATATCAGCACAGTGGAGTTAAAAACCAGTTTCCGGAAACCGCGTAGAAAAACATTCCTATCTAAGTGTACTTATCCCAAGATTCCGCGAGAGGCCATGCGGCGAGGTGGCGCACTTAGTGCTAACAATCCCTTCAGCCACTTACTATGCCTGATCTTGGGGCGAGGGCCTCCAGGGAGCACCTCACCTCACGCAGCAAGGCGTCAGAAATGGTTACCTCGCACTTACGAAAATTCACAAGACGTGTACTTGTCCGTAATGCTTCATTTTAAGCATCCAGACACAATGCAGCACGCCCATGAACGCGCAGGTGTGGGCCACAGTCCGGCCACGAAGCCCTCAGCCCAACGACCGCGAGCCCTCCACCCTCCGGGCCTGCCTTCCGCGGCTCGAGCCAACCGAGCAACGCGGGGATCCCCGGAAAAGCTAGCTCCTCCCTCGCTCACCAGGCCCGAGAGTCGTGCCCTCCTCCTACCCACCCACATCGGCAACCGGCTTGCACCAAAGGCGCCGACCCACCACGGGCCTCAGCGGCGTACTCGCGCCCCGCAACCCAGGCCTCCGACGTCCGCATTTGGCAACCTCCAACCCTCGGCACCCCAACACGCAGACAACTGCTTACCTCCACAACCTCGCGCAAAGAAAGGAAGATCCAGCCCGCGACCCGGCTAATAGTGAGCCCGAAATCTCGCGAGAACAATTGAACGCCACGAGGAAAGTTAATGGTGGGAGGAGGCGAGACGCGGGGCGGTGTTATGACCGCCGCGAGGGGTGGGGCGATTGGCGGTGGGCGGTGGCTGAACGCCCAAATGCGGAGGAGGCGGGGTTGACAGACAAAGTGAGGAGTCAGGTGCTGGCTTCGCTAACCTAGTAGGTACGTGGAACAGCCAAGAACCTTTACGCAAATGACGAGAACAAATTGTGGGGCCAAGTAAACGGAGTGGATGTGAACTGCGAGGACTCAGCCGCTCTTCTGTTTCCGGTGTCTCGCATTTGCTGAGTGGTCGTCGACTTTTCTAAAGCCTTCGGGGTGTGTGCGTGGCGGTGAGTGTGGTGCTGGCTGTGTTTTGTCATGTCTACTTTTGCCTTCAAAAATCTCTTCTGTGTGAAACTGTGACAGGCTCATGCTTTGACCGTGACTCCAAATGTGTAACCTTTGTCCTGGAAGCCGGTGTTACTCCATAGCACACCCCATTCCCCTCTCCACTTTTGGACTTGTTTCGTTAGCTCACTCCTTCCCTCCAAACTGAGGGTCAGCCTCCAGGACTTGGTTAACGTATCCCAAGACACCAGCGGTGGATTTTTTTTTCTTCCTACGATTTTGACTCCTTAGTCCCCTGAACGGCCACTGAGTGTTGAAACAGTTTAAACTAGTTTAGTTTTGGTGGGTTTTTGTTTTTTTTTTTAACCTCTAAAGGAGTTACAAAAAGCAATGAGCTGGTTTGATGGTTCCACTTTCAGACCTCTTGTATCATATGATAGAACCGTAAGGCTGCCTAGTCCTGTATAGTTAGTGTCATCCCAGGATTGAACAGACCTGGAAGGTAGTCTGATCTCTTTACTCAATTTCGCTCTAAATATTGAAAAAAATTCCAGGCATAAAAGTCGAATCCTCTAGGCATCTCCACAGTCTAGGAAATACTTGGAAGCTCCAGGACAGGTAGGGCATGTCTTACTCACTGCCCTATGTGGGAGCTGGCCTGGCTATGGAATTTGTGAGGCTCAGTATGAAATGAAAAGCAGGGTCCCTTGTTCAAAAAGCAGGGGGAAGCGCCACTAAAGGTGCTAAAATATGAGCCATCTCCTTTCTTCTGTATTATCTCCTTTGACTTGTCATGGTGTTTTAACTTTCTATTGTTAATTATAGTAGCATGTTAATCATGCTATTATTATTATGCTATTATTATTAATAGAAATTTGCTATATGATGTCAAAGTAAAGAAAAAATTTTAAATATAAATTATTAGCATGAATTTTACTTCTTATAGCATGCAATGCCAGTTTTAAATACAAATGTAAGAACGGTTAACTCCTATGCAGAATGGATGAAATTCACAATTCGTATTTCATAGCTCATACAAACATGTATTTTGTTCTTACTAGAACAATGGAGACTGCACAAAACCAACTCACCTGTATTTTTTTTTCTTTTTTTTCTTGATGTATGCACGTTCTACCAACACTACAGAATCCGGGGACTTTTGAGTTTCGCAGAATTCCACAGATGGTGGGTCCACCAGATTTCTGTGCCCATGGGGTTTTACAAATGCTTTATGTGAATGAGGTAGCAAGGAATAGTGGTGGAAATGCACTTTGCCCCTCTGGCCTCTGGTCCTGCACATGCTCCATTGTCCTATCGGTCTTTTTAAAAGTTCAAATATAAAGTTAAGAATTTCAGGGTGGTGACAACAGAGCATTAAACCAAATGCCATTCTGAGCACATGGCCCTGTGTCATTATACTAATTGTACACCCTTGAGGCCAGCCCTATCCCAGAGCCTTATGAGTCTGATACACTGTAAATACTCAATAAATAATTAAGGCTGAACTGGTGCCCACTAGGAAGGCACTTGGAAGACAGAACTACAGTCCTATCTTCAAAGAGATCACAGCCTAGGTGAAAGAAACAAAACAAACAGATGATAACTCTGAGTGCTATAAGATGGCTCTGTACAAATTCTTCCTTCTAGGAGCTGAAATGTGTCATTCCATCACAAGTTAACCCACATGGTATAATATGAGGTGTTCTGGCATTACAGAGGGCTGCATTTGGTTTTGAATTATTTCTGCCACTTTAATAGCTGAGTGATCTCGAGTAAATAATATATTCTCTCTGGCCTATTCCTCTTCTGTAAAATGAGAATTATAATATCTATTTGGTGTGAGAGGTTCTGAGAGAATGTAAAGTACCTAACAGGGTACCTGTTATACAGCAGGCTGTCAATAAATGGTTATCAGCTTGGTTGCTACAGTTGGCCTACCCTGTCAGGCATTGTCTCTGCGGCTCTATTTAATCCAGCTGCCTCCCCTTTATACTCTTCCCTTCTTTAGACCCTCCTTCTGGGCCACTGACTCCCAGCGATGGAATCTGGAGGGTAAATATCATGTGCCTCCTTCTGGCCTAAAGCTGTCTTCCTAGAGCCACACTTGAGTTTACATTAGAACCTTTCTAACCCCCTTCTCTCATCAATGCAGCTTCAACCTTCCCTCCTCCCTCCCACATAAACACATTTATACACACATTACCACACTGCCTTCTGGGCTGTTGGCTTGCCCAAAGTTTACATTTCCAAACCAGTTATTCAACTGTAGCCTCCCGGGGCTGGACTTTGTTTTTATTTTGGTGGGGAAAGAAAACAAACAAAAAAAAGCTGACCTTTTAAAGATAGCAAAGGGTATAAAATTAGGATTGTGTTTGAATTTAAACTTGTCTTTATTATTCCTACTATAAACAGAAATATCTAGAATGCTTTATTTTCCTCATTATAAATAAATACAGTATTGAGCAGATTTTGACATGTTCTTAATTAGTACTTTCTGATAAAGAAAATATAAGATGTTAACATTTAGAAAATCTAGATGAAGAGTATACAGGAGTATTTATATGTATTCTCTGTCCATCTGAAATTAATTTCAAAAAAAGTTAAAATGTTTCATTCTTGAACAATTACAGATTGTTCAACTAAAAGATATGCTTGAGATCATTGAAATATGATTATATAGGACTTGGGGCCCATTATCAACAGTTGGTATTTTATTTGGGAGACTGATTATGCATATTATGTAATTAAAGAATAATAAAATTTGGTATTTGATGAAGTACTTATGTAAATGTTAAGTCCTAAATGTATGAGATTAGCATGTTTGTGGAGGATATGTTGTTTGAAATTATCATCAAAACCAGAAACCCAGGAATGCCTGGTGGCTCAGTTGGTTAAGCGTCTGCCTCCAGCTCAGGTCATGATCCCAGGGTCCTGGTATCGAGTCCCGCATCAGGCTCCTGGCGCAGTGGGGAGCCTGCTTCTCTCTCTGACAAATAAGTAAATAAGATCTTAAAACAAAACAAAAAACCAGAAACCTAGTTTCTAAGGAACCTGTGAATCTTTGGAAAATTAAAAAAAAAAAGTGGGGGTGGGGAGATTTTCCAAGTGATATTGAAAGACCACCTTTCACTTACCAAGTAAGCTTGTATCAAGACTATTGAGATTAATAATTAATGAGGTGTTCCATTAACAGTTTTAATGAGAATCTGAATAGTGCTCTTAGAAACACTCTTAAAAGAGTTTTGCTTGCATTCTTTGTTGCAACTGGCTGAGAGTGGGATTCCCTGCCCACCTCACATTATTTTTGCTTTTTTTTTCTTCATTTGATTTACTTTGCTCTGCTTGCGCACCTTATCACCTGAACACTTAAGGTAAGATACTAATCTCTATGTATAAATGCCTACTTATTGTAGAATATGCTTAGCATATATTTTTAAAACATCAAACTATAATTGGTTAGGTTATCAGAATAATTGAACATTAAAGCTGCTTACCAAGAAAGTATTTTTATTTACTTGTAAGTAAAAGTAATAATTTGAATTTCAATAGCTACTCATTTGTAGAAGTTTGCATTTCTCTTAGTAATTTAAATTTTTTTTTATAAAAGTGTTAGCCTAAGAAACTTGTTTAAGTTTTAGCCTAAATGTCAAATACAGAATAGAAAACACAAATTATCTATGAATTACTTGAGCGTCCTATACTGTTATCTACAACCATTTAAATAGTTACTTATAAACCTTAAAAGCTACCTTTTGCTTCAGGACCTATGTTCCTTAGACCAACCATTAGAAAACTACATGTTCGGGTGCCTGGGTGGCTCAGACGGTTAAGCGTCCGCCTTCACCTCAGGTCGTGATCCCAGAGTCCTGGGATAGAGTCCCGCACCGGGCTCCCGGCTCCTTGGGAGCCTGCTTCTCCCTCTGCCTCTCTCTCTCTCTGTCTCTCATGAATAAATAAATTAAAAAGGTAAAAAAAAAAAAAAAAAAGAAAACTGCATGTTCGATCCACATATATGACTAAAGAAAATGAGTCATGTGCCTCCTTAGTTTGGCATTTCCTTTTATCTATTTTAAGTGTTGACTTTAATGTATCAGTATTAAAAAAAGATTACTTGGGCATTTCTCACTTGGAATGTTAAATACTGGAAACTGTGGTTGCCCTTCTGTGAGGAAAGAAACATAAATGCCCTTCTGCCCTTTTTATATAACTGAACTCTTGTGTTCCTTTCCAGAGCAACAGCTGTTCATGCATGGTGCATGGTGAACTCTTGTGATCATTAGCCTACCATAAGCAAATTCTTGTGGTCATTAGCCTACCATAGTTTTGTGTGTATATCCTGATACCTAAAGAAGAAAGAAATGGGTTGTGCTGAGTATTCTTTTCATGTGCCAAGTCTTGAGGAGCTTGTTGGAGGTAAATACAATAATAACTTTGAGTTTTTTTTAATTATTCGAAGGAAAAAAAATTTAAAAACAAAAATATTCTAAGATATGATTTATGCAATAGTATTTCGATTGCAGAACTTATTTTCCTGGGGCTCCTGAGTGGCTCAGTCAGTTAAGTGTCTGCCTTTGGCTCAGGTCATGATCCCAGGATGGATCCCCACATTGGGCTCCCTGCTCAGCAGGGAGTCTGCTTCTCCCTCTCATTTTCCTTTTTGATATCTCTTTGTACTTTTTTAAA